TTTGTTATCTTAGGTATGTGTCCAAGTTTTCATTTCTTCATGACCCTAGCAAAATGAGTCAGGTGACCCTGAGGTAAAATGCTGCCTTTGGGTCCCAAAATAGGCCTTCATGTAGTTAATTATAGAGTCTTTATTTCATTCTTGAGATAGAACCCGTTCTAACAATGTGTAGTAGATAACATGACTTCTTGTAAATCCATAACTTTGTACTGTCTTGTTTAACTGAATTTTGTGTTTTTTTTTTTTTTGTCTTTTGTCTTTTTCCGTGTCCGGCAATGGATCGCAACCCTCAGTGTTGCCCCCGTACCGGACCGGGGACCGGCAACGGGATTGCAACCCTCGGTGTTGCTCCCGCGCCTCGCTCAGCCAGTGAGCGGGAACCGGTCTGTATGTGGGATCCGAACCCTCAGGCGGGAGCGCCGCCGCGCTTCCCAAGCGGCGCACTTATCCAGTGCGCCACCGGGCCGGCCCCGGGAGCTGTACTATTTTAACAATGTTACATCTTCCAGTTAATAAACATGGGATGTCTTTATATTTATTTAAGTCTTTAATTTTTTTGTGATGTTTTGTAGTTTTCAGTTGCACAAGTCTTACGCTTCTTTTCCTAAATTTATTCATATGATTTCATTCTTTTTGATGCTTTTGTAAATGAAATTGTCTTAATTTCATTTTTGAATTATTCATTGCAGCTTTGCCTGTTTTTATATTTCATATAAATGGGATAATTTTGACTCTGTTCTCTTTTGTGTGTCACTTTTGCTCAATGCTGTGTGTGAGACACATTTGTTACTCCACATAGCAGTAGTTTGTTCATTCTAATTGTTATGTATTTTTTCATTGTATGAATATGTCACAATCTATTTCTACAAGGCTACTTCACAAAGTTCATGATTGAAAGATTATATTATCTTTCAATTCGATTTTCCAATGAACTTTTTGAAGTACCCTTGTATATTCCATCTTGATATGTAATTGGCATGTTTCCAGTTTGGGGCTATTTTGAATAATATTACTATTAACATTCTATTCTTATTAACAAATCTTAGTGAACACATCATACATTTTTTCTGGGTGTATTTCTAGGTATGGAACTGCTAGGTCATAAGGTATACTTGAATGTGCAGCTATTGAAGGTACTGCCAAATAATTTTACAAAGTGATTGTATTAATTTATAGTTCCACCACCAGTGTTTCAATTACTTTTTACACACAGAAGAAAAACAGTTTGTGTAGTCTTTATTTTTCATTTTGAGCATTTCCAAAATATGTAGTGGTATCTTGTTATGGTTCAAATTTGCGTTTTACTGATGACTAATGATGTTGAGCATATTTTTTTTTCTAATTGTTATTTGGTTATTCTTTGTGTGTGTGTGTGTGTGTGTGTGTGTGTATAGCACTTATATAAGTCTTTTGCACATTTTCCATTGAGTTATCTGTCTTTTTAATATTTATTTGTAAGAGGAATTCTTTATTTGCTATAGATATAAGTAATTAGGATAGTGTCATACTGGTGCAAGTAATGAAAATTGAGTGGTTGAACAGAATAGAGTTCAGAAATAGACCCTGCATATACTGAGAATTAATTTATGGAAAAATGACTCTAAATTACAGTAGGGAAATGATGGCCTTTTCAATATATAGTACTGATTATGTTAGGACAATTTTAATAGTACAATTTTGTTACCTATATGGTGTGATTTCCTATCTCACACCATGTAATACTCATAATATCATCCCAAATGGATTGTATATCTAAATGTGAAATGTAAAATAATGATGCTTTCTGAAAAAATACAGGAAATTATATATATAACTTTGAGTAATTTCCTAAATTTCTTAAGCAGGATACAAAAAGCACTAACCTTTAATTAGAAAAATAATAAATTGGGCCTCATTAAAAATAAGAAATTCTCTTTATGAAAAGACACTACTCCAAAAGTGAAAGACAAGACACAGAGCAGCAGAGGATATTTGTAGTGTACATATCCAACAAAGGACTTTATATCCGGAATTCAAATTATTTTAGATCTATTCTGGTAATTTTCAAGATTTTTATTATAACAGCGTATAACTGTGTGTTAAAATGATCTGTGCCTTAATTTGACTGAGTTTAAAAATATTAATAAAAATAGTGGTAATAAAAATTAGTAAAAATAGTGGTTTATATACTAATAGATTTTAAATCAATTAACTTTACACATTGGTCTTTATTAATCTAACTTCTGTAATTTTTAAAAATCCAGCAAACTAATTATTTACAATTTGAGAATAGAAAAAACACATTAATACTTAAATTTTATTATTTAGTTTTTCTGTTTGTAAAATTAACTAAACACTAAATCCAGATATTTTATTACCTAAATACCCGTAAATTTTACAAGAAATCTGGTGTGCCAAAAGATTCATGTAGGTACTTTTTTTAGTCTAAAATTTAATTCTATATTTTATGTTCTTAAAACATATTAGGGTCATGTGAAATTAAGTCAGTTTTAAATACATAGTTGTATTTAAAATTGTAGTAAAGTTTTAAAAAGTACTTTTAAGAAGTTTAGTCCAGTAATGCTACTAGAAAATAGAAACATTTATGAAGTTCAAATTGCTTATGTTATATTTACTCCATTTTAATATTCTTCTAAGAACCTGAGATAATGTCACTTAATTTTAAAAATTGGACTTATCTATTTTAAATAAATATGTATGTACAATTATAAACACTACATATATATAAATTGTAATTTAAAGATATGATTACAAAATTTTGATTAAAAATTTTCAGAACTTTTATTATTATATTATACCTGGGTTTTATCTTTCCATCTTAGTAAATGCTAACTTGTTTAGAAGTAAATATTTATTTAATATCCTTTATTGTGACTTAAAACTTTATTTTTTCTTTTGAATTTTAATTGGTTTGATATACTTGAGATTATTTGAGAATTCATTTTTATTCCACAAAACTCTAGAAGTTTTGCTACTTTTATATAATATTAATTTCTTTCATTTATCCATTTTGAAAAATTGATTAAAATAGTTCTGTGACAGATATATCATGAGATGTTTTAATTTTGTTACTGTTGAATTCAAATGTCGATTTTAATGAATGTTACTCAATTAAAGTGGTGTTCATATTTTTTATGCATCCATAATCAATATAATCAATTATATTTTTACATAATTGCATAGATACACTTCTCAGGATGTTGGAGGATTAATGCAATTTTTTAATATGTGGCAGAATTGCGAGAAGCTGGAGAATAATTTTGATGACATCAAGCACACAACTCTTGGTGAGCGAGGCGCTCTCCGAGAAGCAATGAGGTAAGTCTGGGTCACCATAGCAACAGTCACAGATGTGGTAAAGAAAAAGTCATTCTTCATTATTGGGGGAACAAATGAGTTCATTGCCACCATTCAGCTCTGTTCTCTAAGGTATTAATTTGTCAGTGGAGAGACTTCCCTTGAGGCTGTACTTTGGTTTTGAAGCTGCATAAATGTTAAGCCTCAGTGCACAGTAAAAAATGTAAATGTTTAATTTGTTACTTAAAATGCTTAAGGGGTGTCTTGTTTTATATTTATACTAAACTGTGTGATTGAATGAAAATATTGTTCATCTAAATTCTGCCTGTATATAAAAAAATAAACATTGTACAGTGGTGATTTAACTGGGTAGTATTTCCTCCTAATTAGTATTTAATTAAAAAAAGAGGTTCTTAAAATTTCATCTTCTATTACATTTTATAGGATTATATTATAGTGTTTTTAAAGTGATTTACATTTTTACGCAATTACAAAGCATGTGATTTACTTCTTTTCAAATACAGTGGTCTATAATGAGTCTGATTTTTTTCTTTTTTCTTTTCTTAACATGACTATTTCTGAGTATTTCTTTGAAAACACCCCAAACTTGATGCTTTTTAAATAATTTTAGTGAAATGTTCTTTAAATTCTTTGATAGAATCAAGGAAGGCGTTTTGCTAGATATTAAAAATGTGTGAGGAATAAAACTCATCATTCTTAGAGAGAGAAAACAACAAATTATATTAGTCTGATAAGTTCTGAGATTGAACCTTTGAGTGGGATAATTTCCAATGTCTTTGTAAAGAAATAGTATATTTACTTTTACTTAGCCTATGAAACTAAAATAGATTTTAAAAATATATTTTATTCTATCTTAATGCTCATTTTTTATTAACGAACTTAAGGCTAAATAAAATTAAAATAAGAGAAAGGATAAACTTAAGAGGCTTCCTAGAAGGGTAGTTTAGATACAATTTTGTTATTGCTAGCACACAGTTACCATATAGTTTAGTTTAGAAGCTGCTCTCATTTAGTAACCTCCCTTTTACCATGCAAGCAGCAGGAGAAAGTAATTAAATTTAATAGAAGCTGCCCTCATTTTGAAGCCACTTCTATTTAAAACCACAGGGGGAGGTAATTAAATTTAATGGAAACAGTAGCTTCTACACAAAGATACATGGTACTTCTGTATAGATGATTATGATGTCACAAAAAGAGGAATAATATATTACTAGTACTGAGAAATTACCAGCTGGAGCAAGTGAGCCTATTTTATTGTTAATGTCTTTACTAATAAAAAAAAGGGAAAAATAAAACTGAGCACACAATGGAGAATCTGTGTCTATATAAAATGCAATCAGATATTCTCAGAAAATTTAAGTTATTGAAAATAGTTGTAAATTAAAAATAAAGTGTAAACTATATTGTGGAAAAGACTAATGCAGAAATTATGAATGAATGAACTGTGTTTCCACGTAGTCTTTATACTCTATTGGAACACATCATTTTTTGTATATGCTTATAATAATTTTGAATACATTAAACATGAATACCAATATTTATTTAGAAAACAACAGTTATTTCCTGTATTTTTATATCTATTCATTTTGAAGCAAAAACACAGACAAACAGGAAGACAAAGAGGGTGGCAGCTCTCATGTGTTGAATAAAAGACTGAAGGCCAAAACGTAGGAAGAGTTGAAAAGGGGCAATGTGAATGAAAACGGATGTGAGTGAGGGAAATGCAGTGAACAAGGAAAGGACATGTAATCAGTACAGGCAACTTGGCATAAAGAAACAACAAACTGAATGATGGGAGAATTGCGTATGAAGATTATTAAATTCTGCCAAATTTTACTTAACATTTTAGGACACACCAAGATGTCCTGCTTTTAAAAAAGTAGAGGTGAACTAGTGAGAAAAACAAGTATTACCTGGTTGTAGTAACCTCTCAACTACTCAATGCTATAAGATAAAGCAGCAGTCGAGATAATTTAAATAAGAATTTAATTATATGGCTGTGAAACGCACTTGTTTACATAGGTTGCGTATTTTATACAGACAAACATATTACTGGTAATGTTTAGATTCACTGAACGCAGTGAAATAATGTAGTAACTAATAGCATTCCATAATTTAGCATACTGTGTGTCAGGTCCTTTTTTTTTTTTTTTTTTTTTTTTCCTTTAGAAAATGCAGCAAGTGCTCATTCTTTTACACGTGAGATTATGGAAACAAACAAAAAAGTATAATGTGATTAATACAAAAAGAACAAAATGCATTGTTAGCTCAGCAGTGATCAATTTTTCCTTATATGAAGGGTGTCTGGATCAAAGAAAACCATGAAGAGGATAAGAAATTTGATGTAGGCTCTAAGAGATGGACAGTTTTGCAGGTGGAGGGACTAGTACGGAGCAAAGGCATGGAGGCCCGCAGGTGCAAAGTGCACAGTAATTGATGTGATGGAAAGCAAGATTTTTCAAGTTTTTTTGAAAGGTTTTCCTGCGAAGCTCAAATAGGCAGAATTTTTCTACCAGTATTATGTCTTCTTATGTCATGACATCTTAGGTGGAAATGGAGCAGTATTGGGTTGGCAGGGATGGTGGGGGCAGTTCACAATCTGAGTAGGGTAGGGAGCAGTGAGACACAGATGTGAATAATTTGCCAAAAGCCTGACTTAGCACAGAGGCTAGTCTCAAGAGGCCGGCTGAAAATGTGTTTTTCTGTACTTTAGAGGCCAGTTATATGGAGTCTAGCTTGCCATGATAAAGAACATAAATTATTTTGGGGAGCCATGGATTTTAAGGATTGGAGTGACGATATTAAATGTAACAACTATGAAGATAATTTTATAGCTGTGTAGAGTTGGAGTACAGGAAGAAGATACTATGTAGGGATAGATACAATCATTCATTTAATGAACATTTATTGGGTTTTTGTAATATATCAGGTAATGGGGTTACAGATATGAATGAGACAGTCCCTGCCTTTGAGGATTAATGGTCTAATGGAAGAGACAAGAAAATCAACTGCTTGACACGAAGACCCAGAGGCCATTTACTTGTTTTTTTCTCTGGTCCCAGATACTTCATGGTAGTTTCCTTCTTGGTCCACTGGCATGGCATAATTTGGCTTTGGGAGCATGCCCTTCTTTCAGAAGCTTGATCTCTTCTGTAGCTCTTGGGAGGCTGCAGGTGCCCATTAAGGTGCTTTTGTCCTGAGCATGTTTAGCCAGGAGGAGATAGAGCAGAACTGGACTAAATCTAAGATTGACATATTGTGGCTGCTGTGTTAGTGCCTTTCATTAACTTGGGTACCTCCTGGTTTATTAAGGTTATATTATTTCCATGAGCTTAGAGCAGAAAAGAGAGAATTCTGCCATTGTTTAATTCTCTGCCACCTCATCCAGTTTCTCTTTCTGGCCAGTCTTTGCCATGCAGTCCTGACCCTGTTCTTTCGTCAGTACCCCAGTGCATGAATCCTTTTAGACCCCTCCTGAGCTTCCCCCAATCCCAGGTCTGAGGATGCCCCAAGCCTGTAGCTCAAGGGACTGCAGTCTTCTCTGGAATGTGCTGGCTGAATAAAGCATTAAATAAAGGCATTCACTGAAATAGGCTGAGAGAAAAAAAGAAGAGGATTAATGAAGAAGATTTTGGTTTTCAGATGAATTTGAGATAGAAAGTAAACTCATATAAATGTGCAATAGGCAGAGGGAAAACATAATTCTACAACTCAGGAAGAAGACTAGGAGTTTATGTACACATTTGGGACTTGTTAGTATTTTGATACTTGTAGCCATGGGAAGGCATGTGATTGCCAAGAGTAGTGCACCAAATTAGAAAAAGAGAGTCCACCCAGATTCCTAAGAAAATATTGGGCTTTGGAAAATGTGCATCAGAGAAAAACATATTTTGGAATTTAAAAATGTAATCTTTTCTAACAGAGTAAGACAGGACACTGTTATATGCTCTGTGCATCTGAGAAGAAAAGGACGGGGGCAGGGGTGGTTTCCTGCCCACTGTTTTGTGGCCATGGAAATTTGTGGCACATGTAGAGCTGTGCTGCCCTGAGGAAATTTCTGTGATGATAGAAATGTTCTGTATGTGTGCCATTTAGTATGACAGCCACTAGGTACATGTGGCTACTGAGTACTTGAAGCTACTGAGCACTTGAAATATCACAAGTGTAACTGAAGTATTAACTGAATACTTAATTTTATTTAATTTTTATTAATTTAAATTTAAATACTTGCATGTTTTTACTGGCTGTGGTTGGACAGTGCCGCCTTAGAGGGATGTTTTTATATTGCTAAAGTGACTCTAAACTGCCTCTCACTGATGGAGTTCTTATCAGTGGAGAGGCCACAGTGAGGCTAAACCACATTTACACACATCACATATACAAACTCTCTTAGAAAACTGAGAGTGAAAGGTAGACCCATAACGTAGTAACGGACATACAACTAAAACTAACAAGTGTGATTTGATATGGAGAAGACAACGTGACTGTTATTATCTAATGGCATGATTTATATCTAGAAAGCTCAAGAGAATTAATGACAAAACCACTCTAAGAATTTATAAGAGAATTTATTAATGTGGTCATATTCAAAATAAAAATGGAAATAAATGAGCTTTTCTGTCTCAAGTATTCCCCTCTTATCTATGGGGGATACATTCCAAGACCCTCAGTAGATGACTGAAACTGTGGATAGTACTGAATCTTATATACACTATATTTTTTCCTATATATACATATCTATCATCAAATTTAACTTATAAATTAGGCACAGAGAGAGATTAACAATAACTAATAATAAAATAGAACAATTATAACAATATAAAAGTTAACTGAATGTGGTTTTTCTCTCTCTCAAAATATCTTATTGTACGGAACTCACCCTTCTTCTGATCTGTTGATCTGATAATCGGGGGCGGGGGGCCACTCAGTGACTAACAGGTGGGTAGCATATACAGTGTGGGTACACTGGACAAAGGGATGATTCACGTTCAAGGTGGGAT